CACTACTAGTAAGGCACTTGTTACTAGTAGCGATGCACTTTGTTACTGGTCGCGACTGCATTTTGTTTCACAAGAATGGCCCAGAAGGGCCTCATCACCGTATCACCTGCTTATCAGCCCCACTTGGCTCGGCGGTTGAGCTTAGGGAATCAGCTCCGTTAATCCTTACTGCTAACAGGAACTACAAAGGGCATCGCTACTAGGAGCAAAGGACACTACTAGGGGCTCCTGGCATCGCTATTAGGAGCAAGAAGCTACTAGCAACAAAGGGCATCGCTACAACTGGTTTTTGACTTAAAACTGCTACTACATGGCTCACATGGCTTGGCAGGTGTAAGATTTCCCTGACACCAAGGCTGACACCAAGACTCCCACATCACCTTCGGCTCCTGAGGCTGGACAACAGATTGCTAAGCGGAAGAACGGTAGCAAGACACAAATTTGTGTCAGTCCCTTTTATGTTATTTTTTTTTCTCTCTCTCTCTCTCTCGCTTTACACTTTACACCTTTAGACTTTTTTCTTTATTCCTGTTGATTCCTTTTTGCTTGAGAGTTCGTTGTGGGTCAAAGGAACTAATTCTCTGAGGGAGAATGAAAACAAGGTTTTAGGTTTGAGATAGCGGAAGGCCGCTGGCTATCCTGCTGTCGCATCCTCTTCTGAGCATCCTGCCGCTGCCCCGGTTATTTGAGACAGACTCTCCAGTTGAGCAAGTCATAGAGCTATCTCGAATCATTGGGTCAATCGGGGTCAACATGGGTCAACCTACTTTAATGCATCTACTTGGTCTACTTGGAACAGATGATGAATAGATGAGATTCGTTTTATCCGGCGCTGATTTGACAATGATCAACCGGATTTGTACAAAGAGACAATCCAGTCGAATTCAGGACACCATTACAGGTCTTGGAATTCGGAGCTTGATTTGAGATCTTGATGCGCGCCAAGCCGCTAAGCGGGCTGTCCGAAGCATGTTGAAAAAAATCAGGCATGGGGAATCTTGGTGTGCTTCATGTTGGGCTCTATTGTGCTTGGTTTGATTGGAAGCCACCGTTTGATGGCTTCTAATGACAGAAGACCAGGTTAATGCTCCCAAGTGGCACGAGCATGTTCTTGATGGGTCACACTTGGCATGTGTCACGCTTGATGTCACAAACTGGCATATAATAGCACTTAGTCCAACATTTTGCAGGTAGCAATCTCTGGCCTCACGCATTAGGAAGAACATTGCGCTAGTATAGTTTCAATGTCTTTGCTTGCGACGCCCGCAGCTGGTGGACGGCGAGTCCTTGAGAGCTTTCGCACACCGACAGCCCAGCCACAAGTTGTCAGAGCAGGTGCCAAGTTGTCCACGCAAATTGAAAGTAACAAGAAGCTACTAGCAACAAGGGCATCGCTACTAGTAGCAAGGACGCTACCAGTAGCTAGGGCAATACTACTAGTAGCAAGAAGCTACTAAGTTGGAGGCCATCGCTATTAGTGCTCTTAGCAAGCGGTAGATTCTGCTTTCACCGTCGACTTTGGTTGGATTTCAATCACTTGATTTCTCGAGGCTGCGCGACAATACTACCACCAGGCTCTGTGCGTGTTTGACCCATGTTCGCCATTCTTGAAGGTGAGTGACATTTTTCTGTACTGTCGTGAAAGGAACACGATCATCCTAAGATTCAATACGTCACTTGAGTCGCATTGCCCGGAAGCCTTTACTATTGGAAGGGCTTTATTCCTGTCTGAAGGGAAAACCGAGCAAACAAGAATCTCGTTTAGTAGCAAGTGCATCGCAGCTAGTAGCGATGCCCTTGTAGCTTTTTTTGCAACAAACAAAGCCGGTGCCCAAGATGACGTGAGAGGTGGTGGATGGCGTAAACTACTGCCATGACCACCTGGTGGCACATCGAGATCTAAAGCTACTTGGAGCAAAAAGATTTGCTTTTCAAAAAGAACGCTAGGAGCAAAGGGCATCGCTAGTAGGAGCAAGGACGTTACTAGGGGCTCCTGGCCTTACTACTAGGAACAAGAACGCTACTAGCGTCCTTGCTCCGTTCGTAGCGATGCCCTTTGTTACTGGTAGCTTCTTTGTTTCTAATAGCGATGGCCTCCAACCTAAGATGAGACAGAAAGAATACATCACAAACGAAGGAGAATTGAGTTTTGATGACTGTTCATGATTTTCCCATGTTCCTTTTTCTTCATGTTATATAGATCATTTAGGCCTCGCAGTCCAATTCCCGGTCAGCGAGTAGCCTGATGAATCGTAGATTCTGTAGTCAGTCACAGTCTCTCCTTAACACCTTTCCTTTCTTTTTCCTTTGAACTACTTTAAACTTTAGACCCTTGCTTTTATGGCTTCTCTTTTGATTTTTGGAACGTGTTCAGAGGTTTCAGATAAACGGCTGCGGTTTTTCACTGCACAGATGACCAAGGCTTGAGAACCTTCTTCTCGACAAGAGTCGCCCTTTCCTGTGCTTCCGAGGGCTTGTCATGGATAGAGCCAGCAGCCATAGGGTATCAGTATTGTACTATTTGAGACCAACTGTTAAACTATTAAGAAGTCTCATATTGAAGCAGAAGCCCATTTGCAAATCATATTATAGCTGGCAGCCAGGTAGAGAGGGTGTCAAGATAATTGACTTTGGCTTTGCAGCACATGCCAGTTCCCGAGCATAAATCTGACATATCCACTTTGAGTTTGTTTCTTTCAATGTCCCAGAACTTGTTTGCCAAAGTTTGTGCTTCACACAACTTGTTTAGCATCTCCAAGGTACCAAACAAGGATACGAAGCTTAAAGCGTTTTGTGGCACGCCATCGTGCCCCAGAAGAGACGACGGCGTCTATAGTGTTGCATTTTCAGTCATGGACGGCTTGCATCCTGCAGCGTTTCCAGACAACTGGAATGTAAGACACGTCATGTTGAGCTTCATGGTCGCATTCCAAGCCATTTCATGCCTCAGAAACAGAGCTTTTGACACTACAAGACCCAGTGTATGTTGAACAACATAGACATGCAATGGTAGAAATCGATGCAGTGCTGCTTCTTGTTTGCATTTTGTGTGACCTTTTTCATAATCTTGCGAACGAGCTTGTGTATTTGTAAGACTAGATGGTTTACTGACAAGCAGCACCGTTTCCATGTTCTTTCCTCCAGGGCCAGGGTAGGACAAGTTTCGGAGTCAGACTTCGCGGATGTGACAAGTTTTCTTCTTCGCTTCAGACTCGATGTGGATGACACGCTTTATCCTGTCACCTCTGGCTTTTCTGACCATCGAAATGGAGAGGCACTGTGCTTGGCTTGATTTGGAATTCACGGGTGCAGTCGCAACATCGGAGTAATCAACTAGCAGACCACGCAGTCGCACTACATGTTCTTTGACTTACCTTGGGCAGGTGATATGCAAGTTCATGGTAGAACATTTGAGCTTTGAATCGGCTGAGTCTGCAAAGATCCTCCGTGATGAATACTTTCAGCCAGCCAAGCTGCATTTGGTGTACATTAGAAGATTAAGTAGGGTCCAAGGCAGAGACCAGTTAAATCTCAGTAGAAGCGTAGTAGACTTGGAAGTCATACACTTCAATTACACGAGTGCTGGGCCTTGTAGAACTCCAAGGCGCTATCACTCAACGATGAAAGGCTTAACAATTGCGACTGAGGAGACTGGGATAATATTCTCGCTTCCGCTCCTAGGTTGGAGGCCATGGCTAGTAGCCACCCCATCGCTATTAGAATACGGGGCCATCGCTAGTAGGTTGGAGGCCATAGCTAGTAGGTTGGAGGCCATCGCTTAGTAGGTTGGAGGCCATTGCTATTAGTAACTCAAAAAAGCCGCTTTGATTAAACTGTTTCTTTCTCTTGGCCCACGGATTTGATTGAATTGATGCTTATCTCAACTTATCTCACTTTTCTCCAGGAGGGCCGCTTGCCAAAGCCCTTCAAGCAGGAACACTGAGCTGAAGGTGATGTTGACCTATTTAATTGACCCACAACTTTTTGCCATATTGAAGTCAGAAAGATGCAGACTCGGTTGTTTCAGTAAAGTAAATGGTCCAGGAAGAGTTGGGGCAATACTGGGCGGACCACTGCGACTTTGCAAAGTGTCTCAGCTATGCAAAAGTGTCATTTGTCGTGGGAAGAAAAGTATCGTGCATTTGAAATTGAACGACATCAGCATAGCCGCGTTCCTGTGAACATTCAATCAACATTCCAGATTCCAGGTGTTTGGTGGCCAACTGTGTCTGAATTGAACAACATGAAATAAGTAATGTTCAATGTGAAAGAGTAAGCCGTGTCTCCCCTCCGTCCCTGGCAAACAGTCGAGGTTCTTTTGTCCTCTGGTCAGCTGGCCCCCTGGTCGCCTCATCCTTTGGTCCTTTGGTCCCGTGGTCCTGGCCCTATGCAACATTCGTTGCATTCAGGCCGTGAACATTTGCCTTCAAAGGTTGAGCTTACTCAAAAACCACAGGCTCAGATTCATGATTTTAGATCAATCAACAAGACCCAAGTCAAAATCAACACTTGAGGTGGTGGGTGCCACACTTGAAAGACTTCTGTGGCATGTGTAAACACTTGAACGAATTCAGTGGCAGGTGCAAACACTTGCTTGAATTCTGTGGCATGTGCAAACATTGTTTGCATTCTGTTGGTGCAAACACTTGAAAGATTTCAGTGGTAGGTGCAAAGAATGGTGGTAGTTTTGGAGGGTTAGGTCAAATTAAGTCAAGAAACCCACCAGCTCTATACAGCGTGTGGAAATAATTTGGCAAACATTTGGTTTATTCCATCCCACTTCACTACTTGGGATTCGACATTATTGAATTTCAGACTCCCCTGCTATTTGTTTACTTCGGATATTATCTGATAGAATTGTTTTTGTTTTTGAGGTTCATTCGCGCAGATCCCCGCCAGATAGAGGTGATTCGAAGCCTTGCACAGGACAGATCAATGTGTTTCCGTCTCAATTTGTTTCAGCTCCCGCAAGCTGTCGCCCGTTCTTACCCACTGGCGATGGCCTCGAACATAATAGCGATGGCCTCCAACCTACTGTTGAGTATCTCACATCACCCTCTCAGCACTTGGCAGGATGTGGGGCTCAAGATGGCCGTTTTCACGAATTCCCCAAGAAAGTACGCCTGACATCCTGGAAACACTGATGCATGAAAGCACGCAAGCATTTCTTCAGGGTGTGGAACAGGGATGGAGTTGGGCGATACACTTGACATGGTAGTGATTCGCCAGGTTTTTTCAGGGAAACGTGGCTGTTTAAACAGCATTATTGCGAATATTGAATGCTTTGAGTTGAGCTCTTTAGAACTTTTCTTGTTTGCAGGGCATATATGCCCCTTGTGAACCATTGCCAGAAGAATATTCGCTATCCGTGCGTCTTGAGTCTTGGCACCCTCATCATGCGTTGCCTCTAAAACTTCCAAATATCCAGTTGAAACCCTTCGTGTTCAATTGTTTTTGGTGCTTTGCCAATTCCACACGAACATGCGTCCAAGAGAATTTTGCCCCAGTGATCCATCAAATTCGGCTCTATTCTTACCGACCAAAATGCCGCGTTCTTACCGACCAATGCTGCTGATGTCAGGTATGCGCTCAGATGCCTGGAAGTGTTGGGTGTCAGAGAGTTCTTCCCAGACGACCATGTTTTTGCTGTTGAGGTGTGGAGAGACACTGAAAACCGTGCATTTGGAGAGCAGTTTGCGTAGGGCCTTTTGTGGCAGGATGTGCTTCCTGCGTGTAAGCCGCAACCGGAGGTGCGCTTGCATGTATCACAACGGTGGCTGATATGCGAAAAAATTGCGAGGCCTTCAAAGCCGTTTTGGATGCCATTGGCGCAGTTCCAGAGAGAACGGTGATGTTTGAGGAGGGCAATCACTAAATCCGGATCATGATGCTTCGGATTTGTGCACAGTGTCTTTGAGGCTAGTAGGTTGGAGGCCATCGCTAGTAGGGTGGAGGCCATCGCTATCAGGTTGGAGGCCATCGCTAGTTGGTTGGAGGCCAGCAGCTGAGTCTTTGATCCAACTTTCCCTTTGCCAGACTCCATTTCCAGTTCAGTTGGTGTTGAGGACTCTATGAAGAATATCCGCGCGTGCAAGGCAAATCAAAAAGTGATGCTCTTGGAAGAAGCTATGTTTTCCTTGGGCCTTATTGTTTTCCCTCTCAATTTAGACCTTGTTTTTTCCATGTTTGTGTTTTTTTGCATTTTTTCTTTAGAGACCTTTTCTGTGTGTCCTTTTTCTTTAGATTTGTTCTTTCGACCTGTTCTTGTGTTTTTTTCTTCTTGCAACCGTTTTTTTGTGTATTGACCCATGTTATGTTGTGATTCTTCTTTAGCCATTTTACTTTTCCGGTTACTCGTTAGTCCTTTTAAACATATGTCCTTTTTTGTTGTTCCTGTTCTTTTGTAGACCTTTTTCGTTTTCCTTGTTTTTCTTTAGACTTTGTTTTCCTTTTTGCACCCTTTCGTGAGACCATTTCTGTTTTGCTTTCGTTCTTTACACCTTGTCTTTTATCCATTATTCTTTTGGCCTTTACTGGTGCCCTTTTTCTTTATACGTGTTCTATGTTTGCTTTGATATTTGTTTATAGACATGTTCTTTTTTGCGTTTCTCCTACTTTAGTATTTTCCATTGCGCGGGCGTTCGGTAAAAGCACACGCGCATCGATGCGCCGAAGCCGCGTAGCGTCGAGGCGTGGAGGCGTCGAAGCCGCGAAGCCGCCAAGCGTCGAGGCGCAAAGCCGCGATGGCCATGATGCGCTGGCAGGACGTGCCATGCACAATGTTTTGAGGTATTGACTTTGATGGTGGACTGGACCTTACTGCAGCAACAGCTGGCTGCCGCCTGCCACTTTAGATGGTGTGAAGCACGCAGTGCAGTGAGACACTGGTCTACCAAGAGTTGATACCAGTGGTTGTCTGACGGTTAACATGCGGCTGCCAGAGTGAACAGTGGAAATGACAGACTACGGGTACCCCTCTTCGATGTGGTACGGCTTGACCTTTAGCGCAAGCTACCCAGCCATCCAGCCACCTGCGTCCCTTGACTTTCCGAAGTTCAGTGAGATGGTCAGTAACACGGCTTCGTAGAGTTATTGAGTTGAGACAGCGGCTTGACTGATCTTTTTGTTTCTCTTGGCCACGCTTTTTCGAGAACTTTGAGAAGCAGTGGCGTGGTCGAGCCATGTCGAACCTGAGTTTTTTTTGTAATTTTGCTATTGCAGGGAGAGTCAGTGTTGCGATATTTCCATTGCTCATGTTGCAGAAAAGCGACTAATTCGAAGCATGTGCGGCCACAAGCGACCGCCTTCGGCAATCGCAAGAATTAGACCTTAACTTGTTTTTGTTGTCCTGTGTTTCTGCAGACCGTTGTTTAAATCGTAATTGTGCTTTCTGTAGACGCTTCCTTTTTCTTGTGAACAGTCTAGACGTTTCTTTTTCCAAGCTACGTTTTCTTCTGTTTGTCAGACATTTCTTTTTGCTCAGCGCTTTGGAGGCCTTGGGAATACATACTGTGCTGGTCCATGAGGCGGGGAGACAACGTGACTGGTGCACATGGTTCGTGGAACACCTCAACCCGAGTGAGCACACCAGCTCCTTTGTTTGGATGTTTTGATGTTGACTGAGCACGGGAAAGAAAATATATGTGCGCATAACTCGTTTTAGTGTTAGTTGCATGTATGTTTTCGACTTTATCCCTGCGTCGCTTTGCATTTTTTGTGCCTATTGTAGCTCGCTATCGTGCCTCCGGGCCCTCCTCCAGCAGCAGGTCCTTTGTCCAGGGACACTTTCATTTTTTGCGTTTCAGACATTGTTCTTCATCATCTAGTCAGTTGAGGTCAGCTAAGTTGAAAGACCCAGTATTTTTCCTGCCACTCATCCGGTTTTCTCGAGTTTGTTTATACATGCTAGTTTTCTCTTGTCCGTTTCCCAATGAACAATGTTTGGCAAATGCAACATTTATCGTGTTCTAATATGTCCTGATGTGCCAGCCAGTTCTCAACATGAAGTTCACCACAAGGGAGTTTTTTTTCTTCAGGTTCCCTGCTATGTTTGGTGTTGCATTGCAAGGCTGCGGCTGTAAGATGGAATGTTCGAATGTCATGAGTGCAGACCCAATTACGAGTCTCATAATGCACCAACTACATGAATTGTGGTACCGGCAAACGTTTTTGCCGCGACTTTGAGTGTGACTACAAAGGAGAACACATGAAGGCCAAGGATGCGCCCACCTTAGACCGTTCTACAATATGCTGAAGTAGGATGCAGCGTGATCAACCCTTGCACATCATAGATGCTGATCGCCAAGAGTAGGTTGGAGGCCATTGCTATTAGGGAGGCCTGAAGAGCGAAGACCTCCCTGGGAGCGAAAACCTTTTCGGGTCGAGGGGTTTTCTAGCTCATCCCACATCCCACACTTAATCACGAATACTAGCATCACCTAGCTGGAGTTTGTTTTGCTGAATTATAAGAGATGATCGCTTTGTCAAATTCGAAGTCCTGGCCTCAACAGCCTACCACCTGTTTACGGACCAACAATCAACATCACCAATCACCGAAACAGACTGCTAACATCTGTAACTAAAAGTTACCATCAACATCAACACGTTCATCACAAAGCCACCTATCACCAATCACTTCATCACTACCAGATCAATACAGTAGAAACAAGAAGCTACTAGGAACAAGTGCATCGCTTCTAGTAACAAGTGCCTTACTAGTAACAAGAAGCTAGTAACAAAGGGCATCAATACTATTCAATACTAATTACTGAGTTTACAAACTTTACCTCCCTGCTTTTGTGGCCCTTGGAGGTCGAACCGCTTGCCGGGTTTAAACCGATGCTAGTGCACCTTCGGCGACAACGTTTTGCTTCCTTGCTGGTCAAGTAAAGCCTTTTCGCCTTGTGTGTTTCTATCAATGCCAAATGGTTTATTACTAGATTGATACGTACTACAGAGTACTACATACCATTCCCTGCTGTTCCATGTTTGTTTGCCTTTCCTAGTCGTTCCGCACAAAGTATCAACCCAAGTTTAGAATAGTTTAACTATTCTTTCGTGGGGTGCCCCGGCCTTTTGAGTGTGCCGCCAGGCAGAGGGAGGCAGGATGCAAAGCAAGACAGAACTGAAGACTCGTTTGACTGATCTGCGTTTTAGAAGGGCGGAAAAGAAACCAAAAAAACGCTAAAGAAAGAAACACAAGATCAAACATATTTTCCGAACGTTTCCATTTTCAAGTTTTAGCATTGGATCAATTACATTGATGAACTTCAAGAAAAACTGCACCAGGACTCCCTTCTCCCTGAAGGCCTCTCAATTTACCACGCTGCAACAGCATCCCGTCATTCTTCCCGCCGCATAAACGACATCCCTTGCCATTCTTGCAGACAAAAGTCTATACCTTAGGAGCAAGGACACTACTATAGGGGCTACTAGGAGCAAGAAGCTACTAGGAGCAAAGGGCATCGCTACGACCGGAGCGATCGGACGCTACTAGGAACAAGTGCCACGCTACTAGTAACAAGTGCCTTACTAGTAGTAACAAGAAGCTACTAGTAACAAGTGCATCGCTTCTAGTAACAAGTGCCTTACTAGTAGTAACAAGGGACGCTACTAGGAGCATTTCGGGCATCGCTACGACCGGAGCGATCGGACGCTACTAATGTGAAGCATTAGCGTTTCGACTTGATTGCCCGATCTGAACTCGAGATGGTCAGATCTCAGCGGCCAGGTGAAGCTGCCTTGCTTCATGACACTCCAATTCGGGATGATCCTGCTGTTGATGCAGTCCTCAAGGCCTGGGCTGAATTATTGTAGATAAATATCATGTGCCAGCCACTTGCCACTGAAAGTAAGGTCTCCAAGCATAATTCTCCATAATCTATCTAGGAAGCCTCAATGCAATTGTTTGGAACTTCACAAAACATTGCTGTTGATGATAGTGTTTTGTAACTCTGCCTTCAACATTGCCAATGCCTTTATTGAGCATGCAAAGCACACAGCCCAACATTGTCAACTTTTCACCTTACATCCCCCCTAGCGGCGGTCCCTCACAGCCATCAGTTTTCAGGTCATTTGTACGCATGTGGACCACAAAACGAACTGAATAGACTACCTTGGATCAAAGGGTCGGGGGTGCGGTGAGTAGCGTAAAGGATGCGCGCTTCGCCAGCGAATGAACAGAATAGCCTATCAACCTACTAGTGATGGCCTCCAACCTAGCGATGGCCTCCAACCTACTTAGCTTCTACCTAAACTTGACGTTTTTAGTAATGCTACACCTCTCCCCTCCCTACCCCATCCTACCCCTTTCACCCCCTCTCTTAGTGGCCTACCCCTCTATGAAAACACACCTATAGGGTTCAAGACGTGAAAATATACATTAATTATTGAATCATATTGAAGTCATATATGAAGTTACATGTGTCAACAGATTGCAGACGAAATAACACTAAGAAACCCTCGTTAGTTGGTGTGTTTGAGTCGATCGAGCTGAGTTGTCAGGACCTGTCGGAGACGCCATCACTTTTGCCCTGCCTTTGGAAGAAACGTTTCGAGGACAGAACTTCGGAGGGTTGAAACAGTGTGTTACAAACATTTTCAAACAGCAAAAAAGCAAAGGGCATTTGTTACTAGTAGCGATGCCCTTTGTTACTAGTAGCTTCTTGCTCCTAGTAGTAATGCCAGGAGCTACTAGTAGCTTCTTGCTCCTAGTAGTGAGTAGAAGTCTGCCAGTGTGACATTGGTTGATCCATTCAGGCCGCGAAGCCTTCGGCTTCCTGCCCAAAGGGCCCATGAAGCCAAACCGAATGTTTTGCATAAAAAGGAGCGAAACGATGCCTTTGAGCGCAGAGGCTGTGCACTAGCCAAATGTTGCCCATCTGAGACGGAAGACCAGGTACATGGCACCGGAGATCATTCGGGGTGAAGGCTACTCAGGCTCCTTTTCTTCTTCCCTTCGATGTTTTCTTTTTTTTGTGGGGCCATTCAAGGTTTATTTGCTTGACGAGGTAGAAGACCCTTGCGCAACGAACTGGTTCATTTATACAATCAATGCGGATGTTGTAAAAGCGATATCGATGTGATGAAAAAGATTTGAAAGTGTGAACAAAATCTGAAGCAACGGCGTTTGCAAACAATGCTGGAACAGGGTAACATGTTTGGATAACGATGATAATTAATTATATAAACAATTATGATAACAGACCCGTGCTGGTGGTGTTCAATGTATTTCAGTGTAGAACACTGCTGTATTTACAATGAATATGACAAGGTGCCGACTTTGGTGAAAAAGGTTTAACATAGAAAAGATGATTCAGTCGTTTGCAGCGTTGTCAACCTGCTAGCACGAACATATTCAGGTCACGCTTTTCTTCTGAACTAGTTGGAATTTGATCCCTTGCCACGTGCAGAATTGGCAGGCTTTGCAGCAGATGTGTGGGCGTTGGGAGTGGCAAGGATCTTAATCTTAGCTATTAAAGTTTGTCAAGGCCTGTTGCTAAGCATAGAGCTATAGACGACAAGAAATAGACAGCTGTTTTGGAGGCTATAAACTTCATGCTCGACTATTTAGGGCTCATAGACTGCACAGGTCATTTTTGCACTGCTCTCTGGCACGTTGCCATTTGCGGCAAAGACTGAGTTTGTCACTGAGAATGCTGCAAGCAAAGTGATGATGTGTCATTGATGAAACCTTGGGATACAAACTCCAGTCCTAGACCTTCCCCAAACTCCTCAACTACTGTCACTACATA